ATTAATTCACCCTCGGTGGTTTAAGTCCCTTGATAATAACACCACCAAAAGAGGCTTTAACTCCCAATTCTAAGAAAAGAGCAATACAGTTTCTGGCTTTTGAAAAGGTTGGTAGCATGGAGCAGATTTATGTGGGAAGTGGCTAAAGCCTGATTTCAAGACCGCAAGAAATTGGAATGATTAATGATATTCATGTTTTCTAGATGGTATTGTACGTTATGAGATTCCTGATTTTGGCTGGAAGTTTTTCAGGTCATTCTTTAAATTTTTTTTAAAGATATTAAATTAAGTATCAAAAATTTGATTTTTCACTCTATTTAGACAAATTTTATATATTTTAGTTTATTGTTTTAGCTTTAATTTTATTGACATTGGATAAGTTGAATGCAACTTTATTGAATTTTACATGATTTTTATTATTTATGCCAAAAAGAATTGAATTATATGAAATTAAAAATTTTGAGATTTACATGTAACTCTTTAAGAAGCTTAGGAACTAAAGTGTAATAAGAAAAGTTGAAATTAGGGACCAAATTCAATAAAATTAAAGTTTGAATATCAATGTGCACAAGAACTAAAAGTTGAGGGAAAAATGTTATTTTACCATTAAAATTTGCAGGATTTTAACGGGCAAATGGACGGCGTTATACCGACGGTTAAGGGAGGGCTGATGCTTGCCCTTTTTCCAGGGTTTAGGGATTTTTATGAATTTTTTTCAAGTAAAACGAAGACAATGACTCATTTTGCAATGTTGGGGAATTTTTAGTGGCATTAAGCCTTCTTTTATTTGTAATTAAAAAAATGCTTAGATGCAAATCCATATAAATAACAAAGAAGAAGATATAAAGTAATCATTCATGGTAGTAACCTCACATAACAAAATAAAGAAATTTGATATGTCTTGTATAAGGCATGTATGTTTTTAAAATTTTTTTGTGACTATAGTGAATACTCTCTTACTAACAAATTTAGTAGGAGGCAAAGAAAAAAAAAACCAAAATTTTGAAAAAAAATAAAAGAGAGAAAAGAAATCATATTTTATAACCAATTAAAATTTAAAACAACAAGTTATGATCAAATTACAAAACAAAGAAAATGGTCTAACATCTATCTAGGGCTTTTCTAGGAAACAAAGGAGGGAGGGAGGAAATATGTCAAAAATTTAGAATTTTTTTTGTCATCAAATTAAGAGATTAAAATATGTTTTTTTATGTTTAACAAGTTATATTTCGAGAATTCACTAATAATTACCTCTACATTTAGATTGAATTAAACCACTAAAACTACAAGAGCTAATAGTGTTTATTGTCATAAATATTACAAAAAAGTTAAGATAATAAATAAAAAAATATGTATAAGATCTGGGACTAAAACATTTTTTTTACAAAAAGTCTAGGGCGGCGGCTGCGCCACCTTGTCTATACATGGCTCCATCACCGTATTGATTTAATTAATTCACCCTCGGTGGTTTAAGTCCCTTGATAATAACACCACCAAA